TCTGAGCATGCTCAATGAGTGACAGTGATACATATGGCTCGTAAATTGCCATTAGTGACACATATGGCTAGTAAATTGCCATTATAAAATTTGCCAATTGCAAAGTTTCAACTAATTGCCAAATATAACTCTCACCAATATTTCTAGTTGTGGTAGTATTAGTAGCATTTGTAACCACAATTCCCAGTACACTTTTAGCATACAAGCAGCCAAGCCAAACAACCTTCTCTTGTCCTTAATATTTGTTACACAATCACCACATTATAACAAGCATTTGAACGTTGTTGCATGAATACAGTGTACTACATGTATGCTACTATTAGCACTTTTTATTATGTACTGGCTATGCGGCTATGTTCTGTTGTACCTATATAATGTGCATAAATATATAATTTCACCAAACCACAAAGGGGATTTTGGAGGGAGATTTTAGGGCATAGTTCAATAATTGTTGCTGTCAAGTGAAGCCATAACACTATTAATAAATACTGTGTATTTACGTCATGACTCATGACTACTTGAGTCATAAGATTTACATTGTAAATGATTATGTTTTCAGTATAATAAACTCTAGCCTGTATATAGTTTAGTGAGTTAGAATTGACACTAAACAAATTCATCTGTTTTTAGAACGAACCAGATACCAAAAGTTTACATAGTTCATACAGGGAATCTCAACCTTCATATGATGACATGAAGCTACCAATCACAACAGACCACTATAAAGCAAAGTTCACTGCCTTGCTCTATTATGAAGAACAGGAACACATTGAACTACTAAAGAAGAAGTGAGTTTAATATACGGAGTACTGATTTTTAATATTGAATATTATTTTTAGGTGTGATGGTAGCTTTGCCTTACAAAAATGGAAACCACCATTTTTAAGGCATGATGAAAAAAGCTATCCCCCTCATTTTTATTGTCTACAAGGAATGTCATCAGCACAGATTATGTATGCTACTCAAGCCAGTGATCGATGTGTTACTATTAGCATTGGCCGGCGTAGCTATGTAGCTAAAATTCTTAGTTGTAATTATTCACATATTGATGATAAGCTATACATTTGTTTCAAAGACAGCATTGGTGGCCAGTCTTCTTTGGCAGTAAATGCAACATTTAATGTTAATCACCGTTACTTTGATGGCCTCAATGATGGAGTTAAGAGGATTAGCTCAAAAGTTGTGCGTCGTCTTATACCTACACCAGATGATTTTAAAAGCCCTCCTAGAGATATTGCCATTGACATTGAAAGGTACCCATATAGAGGGATTGATCTTGATCCTGAGCAGATTCCAGCATTAGAAGCAATACTCAGTAACCAGTGTTCAGCTCCTGTACTGATACCTGGTGCTTTTGGCTGTGGTAAGACTCGTCTTCTTGCTGTGGCTACAGAATGTTTTTTCAGAGAACATCACAAGACTGGTCACCGTTCAGCTTGTCGTATTTTAATCTGTTGCCATCATCAACATTCTGCTGATGTTTTTATGAAAGAATATTTTAACAAAATGCTGTTACACTCATGGCCAGTAAAAGTTCTACGTGTTACAAGCTCACGATATCATGCTGAATATTCCAATTGTGTTTCGGCAATTGATTTTGATTTATCACTATACAGATGTGAAACCGCCTTTCTATTGGTCACAACATTTGGAGGAGCCCTGACAATATCTAAACAGGTTGAGCCTGATTTCTTTACTCATATTCTAATTGATGAAGGAGCTCAGACTCGTGAACCTGAAGCTCTTAGTCCATTTCTAATGGCAAATAAGAATACTCGTATTGTTATTGCTGGAGACCATCAGCAGGTACGTTGTATGGCCAATTTCATAGGCAGTGCAATTAATAATAATTAATTAGAAATTTTAATCAAAATTGAAGTTTTTAAGACAATAAATGTTTACATGCGAAACTGTGACCAGAGCCTGTATATTGAGCTACTTATGTGTCCACTCTTAATTTAAACTAATTTTTATTGTTGGCTATTTAGTCAGGAATAGGCCAACCCTTAAATCTGCAAAATAGTACTCCTGGGTTTATAAAAGTAAAAAGTTTGTGTCATATAGTATTCATTAGCATAAATTAGGCATTATCATACTAAAGGTGTACGACACAGGCTACTATAATATTAACATTACATCAACATTACTAGTACTGTATATTATTATATTGTTTACATGTACATGTAGGTTGGTCCTCAAATTCTTGTTCTTGGTAAAGCTCCTCAGCAGTTTGGTTTATGTGTGTCACTGTTGCAACGATTACTAGAGAAGTATAAATCTATCGGAGACATTACCAAGAGGAACACTCCATCATGGAATATTAATTATCGCTCACAAGCTGACATTTTAGAGCTACCTTCTAAGTTGTTTTACAATTCAGAGCTGAGAGCTTGTGGTAGAGTACCATACCACCTCAAGGCTCCTTATCCTTATGTTTTTATATGTTCCAGTTTTACTAATGATATTCCAGTTGATGCTCAGTGTGCTGTAGAGGCTGATAGACTCCTTCAAGCAGTGCAGCTACACAGTGACAAGTTCAAAAGCTGGGATCTGAAAGACACTTGCATTATGACTCCAAGTTTGAAACAGGTATTGCATAGTTTATAAATATCGGATTTAAACTTTGAAGATTCTGTTTTGAATTTATTGTTGTCAATTCAGATAACCACCTGTTTATACAGTATTTTGCATTTTACTTTAATATAGTGTGTAGGTTCATTATGCCCATTTTGTCTATCCTATACGTGCACAGTTTGTGGTCTATACAGCAGAGTTGTGGTTTTACTGTATATCTGGTAATTTTCATGGGAGAAAATTTTCAGACAGAAAAAATTCATGTATTTTTATTTTCGCACAGTGGTTCCTGTCCGAAAATTAACAACATGCAAAATTTTAAAGATCTTATAAAGAATCCCACAGAGCATCTCTGCTTGAGAAGCTACCATGCTTATTAGACTGTCTGCCAACTGCTGTAGGAGACTAGGAGAGATACTTTAATTGGAAGAAACAAAGCAGCGCCATTTTGTGATGATAGTGCCACGTGTCTTGACACTGCACATGGTATCTGCATGCAAAACTTACCCATAAATAAATTAACTTTCATGAATTTTAATTTCGCACAAAGCCATGCATCCGAAAATTAAAAACAGATGAAAATTTCCAGATATACGGTATGTTGTATAAACAATCATAATGAACTCTTCTTTTTAGCTTGGTGGCTCCTTTTCTACTCTCATTAGTGAAATAGGTGTTTGGACTGGTGCTTTTATGTACACAAGCACTAACCATAAACTAGTTAGAGCACAGCTTTTTGTGCTGTATGTAGGAAATACAGCATGAAAGGTTTTATCAAGAAAGTCATACAACACTCAACTTACCTCATACTGCATGGCTTTCTGTAACACCTCTCATGCTGTATTTCCTGTACCACTCTTGAAACCATGTTTTAACTAATTTGTTATTGCAATAATTACATAATGAAATCATGCATCATTGTGTCTTTGACAGGCAAACCTTATTAAAAAATTGATAAGGACTAAATTCAATAATTTAGAAGGTGTCAATGTTATCACCAGTTATCAAATGCAAGGTAATATAGTTTTGTGTCTCATTTGAAATTTTATTATTATACATGTACAAACAGGGCAGGAGTACCGTATGCTTTTCATGAGTACTGTTGAAAGTTTAGAGCCCAATGGTCGACCATTTGATCCTTTGAAGAGTTTTTGTAATCCAGCACTATTCAATACAGCAATCACACGCTCTAAAAGTCTTGTAGTAGCTGTAGGTAATCCTCTTGTACTGCTGTTGTCTGAAGCTACTATGGATAATCTTAAATGGTGCTGGAGAGAGTTTATTTCAAGATGCCTTAAATATGAAACATTTAAAAGTACTCCTTCTGACCGTGCCCAGTTTGAACAAGTAAAAGTACAGTTCTTTGACATGCTGAAATGTGATAATACAACTGGTAAGGATTTCATACTTTTTGGTGCCACCTTGTTATTATATATACAATGTAGATGTAATTAAATTGTTTCAAAAGAATGGTTATTCACAGGATTGCATCACAAAGGCTTCTTTACTACCTAAAGCTCCTGTATTGATGCCTCCTACTACTCCTTCTAAAATGCACTCAGCTCAACAGTCCAGTGGGTGGTCATCAGGTACTCCACCTTCAGTATCATATCAACCAACTCAAGATAGGAAGCAGCCATCTTCTCAAGCCAATCAAGACATACCTTTTCAAAATGAAGCAGCACAACCATGGCCACAACTACATCTACTACCTTCTCCTTCAGAAAGTAAAAAGCAACTTGCTTCTTCACCACAAGAAGCAAAGATGCATCAATCTCCTACAAAGCAACAGCCTCATGCGTTTTCACAGCATCTAGTCAAGCAGCAGCAGTACCCAGCAGTTGAACAAGAGCCGCATCTTAAAACAGAACAGCAATATGCTTATACAGACCAGCAGCAGAAATCTAGACAACCAAAATCTACACACAAAACTAATTCTCTGCCTCCATCAAAACAAACTAGTGCAAAAATAGAACCTGCTCCTCAAAAATCGTTGTCTTCAAAGAAGCAAAAAGGAATTAATACAGCTATACAGTCTAAACTAGGGCCACCAGTCCTTCAGTTGTCACCAACTGCCTCATCTCAACAGCAAAAGCAATCTCCATGGAAATCGCTTGAACCTGTTGTTCCCATTTCATTACAATCTACTGTAACAGCTTCAAAATCCTCACTTGCAGATATAAGAACTAGTCATATTTCTTCAGAACACTCAAAATCTCTACAAAACCCTAGGAATATTAATATTGGTTCTTTTATTAGTAATGAGTTACGGGAAACTTTAAGTTCAGTACCCAATAGATCCACAAAGAAAGCAACATCTCGAAATAAGGTTCCTATTCCTGAAGGTAAAGATCATATTTATTTTGGCTTATACATGTATTTCTTTTTCTTGTATTTTAGTACATACAACTGAGAAGTCTATTTCAATGCACTCCTTCAGAAAGCATGCCCACTGCCCTATTAATGAAGAGCTACTAGCTGCTACATTAACTCCTAGCAACTATAAGGAGAAATTTCACCAGCTATTGTGTCGGGAAGAAGATGAACATGAGAGGATTCTTAGAGACAAGTATAGTTAAGCTAGAATGCATCAATTTTTAATTTTATAATGTAGGTGTGATGGTCTCTATGATTTGAAGTTGTCAAGTATTGACATATGTATGAACAAGCACTTTAGGTGGTATCAAAACAAGTATAAATTGTTTTATACAATATCAAACACACAACTTGATGCTGATACAATAGCTTATGCTATGCAGGCAAGTGAATGCATAGTTATTCTCCATTTGTCTACTGGAGATAAGCACGAAGCAAATATTCTCCAGACAAGAAACAAAAATAGCCTTTATTTTTTACTGGGGCTCACAACAAATCCCGGAGTTAAACAAGAATCAAATGTCAATGTGACCTTCATTTTAAAATACTCTTATTTTGATCGTCTTCATCGAGCCTTAGATAGTTTGCCTCCAGCTGTACTTAATCGTTTAATGCCAAATGACCCTTGTCATTTTAGTAATGTGGTGTTGAATGATGAAGATATTCCTCCTATTAAATGTGTTCGTGACATAGTCAAATTAGAATATTCACAGAGGAAGGCACTTAAGTCTATAATGAGCTGTGAAGCTAACAAAGCACCTGTTTTAATTATAGGTTCATTTGGAACTGGTAAAACTCAGTTGCTAGCTCGTGCTGCATACCAAGTATTACAACAAAATCGAAAGAACAGGATTCTTATCTGTGCCCATCATCAGCGCTCCGCGGACACCTTTATGGCTAATTACTTTTCAAAAATGATTGATTCTGGTTGGCGTTGTGGCAAAGTTGTTCGCTTGGTACCAATGGAATACCATCCTCCTTCATCTTGTGTAGAGTATTATGTTACAATTACAGATATTAAGTGTTCGAGAAATGAGCTACAAAACATTAGTTTAATTGTAACAACATTTTCTTCTTCACTTAATTTGCTTGGAGTTGTCCCTAAAGGCTTTTTCAGTCATATTTTGCTGGATGAAGGTGCTCAAACTCGTGAACCTGAATCTGTGGCTCCTCTTTGTTTAGCTGACGGTAATACACAAATTGTAATTGCAGGAGACCACAAACAAGTGAGCAATAACTGTATGCACTAATATACTTACTAATAAATTTAATATATTGAATAGGTTGGTCCCTCTTTGTTAGTGCTTGGTGAACTAGCTATTAAAAATGGTCTTAGTCTGTCATTGCTGGAGAGACTGCATACTCTTTATAATGATGATAGATTATCTGATGCTTCATCAGTACATTCTGCTACTCTTCTCACTAATTTTAGATGTCACCATGCTATACTGTCTCTTCCATCTTACTTATTTTATGATTCTGCATTGATTACTGCTGCTGAAGCTGTCACTCATCTTCATCCTGAAGCTAAATACCCTCTTCATTTTATATGCTCTGATCTAAGTGAAGCTAAAGAAGTACATAGTAACACAGATGAGTTTGAAGTCAGACTATTACTACAAGAACTGAGTAAATATGTTAAGAGCTGGCCAAATCAATGGGGTAAAATGGATCTTTCTAAAATTTGTGTTATGACAACAACAGCTCACCAAGCAAGTCAAAATTTCATACTTTTTGAATTTATTTCTAAACTTTAGAAAATTAGAGTTATTCAAGTATTGTCTTATGATTATTTAAATTTTGAAGATATTGATGTTCGGACTGTTTTTGATATTCAAGGTATAGTCAATTTTAATAATTATCCCAATTAACAATTATTTTCTCTACATATAGGTTGTGAGTATGAGGCAATTTTTCTTAGTACAGCAGAGCCTACTACAAGAGAAGGCAAATCTAAAAATCCAACCAAGACACCTTGCAGTCAATATGTATTCAATACTGCATTAACACGTGCTAAATCGCTTGTAGTATGTGCTGGTAATCCGTTTCTGTTGATGACAATAGAAGAAAGCATGGGTAATGAATGCTCTTGTTGGAAAGAGTACATTAGAAGGTGTATTCTTTCTAAAACCTTTTTAGTGCCTTCAAAACTTCAACATAAAGCAGATCAGGCTATCATTTCTGATAAAATTAAAATGTTGCAAGAGATGATTTTTAAGTTGTCACCTGATTTAATGACAAATGGGTCTTTTTCTGGTAAAGATAGCATATTGAAATCATTTCAACAAGCATTAAAATCTATACCACAGTACAAAAACTGCAAATTAAAAATTGTTCAAGACGTACATGTAGGTGAGCATTGGAATATTATAGACTCTGGCTCATCTGACATTGATAAAAAGGAACCAAATGAGAACAAAAAGAATGAAAGTGAGGAAGAAGGTGAAAAAGAAGGTATTTTTGATTGTGAATTACAAATGAAAAGCTATCGCTCAGCAATTGCAGTTCCACTTGATCAGTCAAAGGAGCCCATAGTTATTAATGGATTAAATAATAGAAAAGGAGCTTTTAATAATGATATAGTGCAAGTCGAAGTTACTGTATTTAATTCTCAATCTGCATCTGGTGATGATGAAGCAGTGGTTTTAAGGTCTGGTAGGGTAGTAAAAGTTATTAAAGAGCAACATCCAACTAGGTATGTATGCCGTGCTGATCAATATGGCCTAATTAACTTTTACCCTCTTGATAAAACTGCTCCTGTAATTGTAAACCTTCCAAAAATATCTGACAACCTTCTTCGATATCGTCCAAAAGATGATCAGGCCCCAATGGTGCATGATTACATTACAGTGTTTAAAGAGGAGTCACTTTCAGTCTTACCTAATGATCAGATTCCTTGTATTAAGGAGCTCATACCGTTTGAATTGTCTCAGAGTCTCTTGTTTGTTGTTGAGGTCCTCGGTTGGAATCCAAAATATCGAAAAGCACTAGGAGCTGTCATTGAAGCTGTTCCACGCACGTCAAACCTTTTCTTTACTAATCACTTGCTTAGCCTTGTATATGGCATTCATGAAGAAGATGAAAAAGTACATGCACCACTTCAAGCACCAAATGAAACTAACCAGCTTCATCATTATAACAGAGCATTTACCATTGATCCTCCTTTATCTAAAGATTTAGATGATGCAGTCAGTTTGACACCTCTTCCTCAAGATGGCAATTATGAGCTGGCAGTTCTTATAGCTAATGTTGCCAAACATATAAATGAAAACCATCCTTTAGACAAGAAAGCTAAACAGAGGGGGACATCTGTATATGGTGCTAAACAGAATGGTGCATCATATGGCATTGGACGAGTAAGGCACATGTTTCCATCCAGTATCACATCTCAATTGAGCCTTGACTATTTGAAAAAACGGCATGCTTTATGTCTACCAGCTAAAGTACTCATTGAAAAAGGAGTGGTAACTAGTGTAGTGTCTGGCAATCCAAAGGAAGCAATGGTCACTTCTCAAGTACGATTCACTTATGAATCTGCTAAAAAGGTAATGCATAATGAAACGGTTGATGATGAGACAAGAAGGCAAGTTGAAGCATTTGATGCTGCCAGCAGACCAAGCTTATTAATGGCTAATACTCTTAATCTACTGTATAAGATAGCTATGTACTTACGCATTAAGAGGTTAGGTGATGCTGGTTACTGTTATGGCCAATCTGAGGAAGGTGAAGAGACTAACTGGCAGACTCATCTTCTTATAGAAGAATTAATGATATTTTGTAATGCAGCAATAGCTAAATATCTTCATGAGAAACTTCCACAACAAACTGCCCTTTTACGAGCTCAAATGCCACCTTTAAAAGAAGAAAAGCAAAATTTTATGGAGCTGAATCAAAACTTCCTGGCTCACTCCCTGTCTTTTAAGTGTTATTTAAAAGATTCAACTAATGAAGCAGGTTCTTTAATTATGCCTAGTACTACACTTCAGCTACTTATTGATGCATGCTCTGAGGGAGATCACATTCAATTAGCTTCAATTCTTAGCAATAATAAGCTTTATCCACAGTTAGCAATGGCTGAAGCTATGTTGCGATTGATCAGCAGAAAAGCCAGTTATGTTGTGATTGAAAAGAGCAAAGAACATATCTGTGCTAATCATTCTCATAATAGCCTTGCACTACCAGCATATACACATTTTACATCGCCTATAAGGAGATACTTTGATCTGGTTGTGCAAAGATTAGTAACATCACTCATTGAAGGAAAGCCTATAGCTGAGAATTCTGAGCTTGCAAAGTTGTGCTCTCAACTGAATGTCAGGAACAAAATTGCTAAAGATTTTGAAAGGGCTGAAAATAAAGCATGTATAACCAGAAGCTGTGAAATCTCACTAGAGAGAGCAGAGGCTTTTGTGATCAAATCTTCCAAGAAAAGCAATGACTCGTTTGAATTATCTTTCACTTCAAGTCATTATCAGTGTATTCATAGCCAAGACACATCATTTAGCATATCAGATCTTAATTTTCATCACACAATTGAAGATGGAGCTACTAAATCTATTGTATGGGAAATAGTATCAATATCATTACGTCAATCCTTTAACCTCTTCTCTCATCCTGATGTAATTGACATGCCTCCTGCTACTCTCAAAGCTCCTCGTTGCTCTATTGCTGCTAAAATGTATCATTACACACAAGGGCTTGAAGAAGGAGAACCACAGATTCATTATTTTAATGCTAATTTTGCAGTTCATGATAAAGGTATTACTCTTAGTCCAGAATGCTGGCTTGTAACACACCAGTATCTTAAGTATCAAAATGAAGACAATTTTAAAGAAGTAAAAAGTTTAATTCTCCAATTGCAACAAGAAGCCAATAAAGACAAACCCCAGTCAAGAAGTGATGAAGAGAGTGTTGCAATAAAGTATAAAATTCAACGACCTTTTATAGCTAATGATATAGTGACAGTTTGGCTAGGAAAGTCTCTTAAAGAGTGTCTCCCTGTACCAGCTATTCAATTAATGGAGATAGCACCAACAGTTCGCGTGTGCCTTCAACATAACAAGAATCCTTCTCTCTGCTTCTCTGATATTCAGCTACAGAAAGCATCACGTGATACAGCATATCACTCAATAGAACAGTATGTAGAGCTTTGGAGTAAAGTGTTAATTGCTGAGTCTGCTAATGAAAGTGTCAAAACAAAAAATCTCGTATTCATCAGACACGCTCCTTTAAAATGGAAGAAATTTACTCGAGTTGATAATTGTGTTGATGATCCTTACTACTTACCAAATGATGTTTCTCTTGTCATACCTCCTAGGAATCAAGACTCTTTGGATTTCATTAGTATCAAATCTGGTGACTTCCTTTGTGTTCGATATGAGATTAGTGATAGCCTCAATGCTGTTTATCATTTTGTTGTAACCAAAGTGAAGCGAAATGAAAATAAGAAAACAAAGAAAAAGGATGAAGATGTTATAATAAGAATGTGTGCTGAAGGTGACCACTCATGTAGAGTCACAGAGAATATGTATCAAGAATTGAAAAAAGGAAACCAAAATTGTGAGATACAGATAATACCAATGCCTGATTCGTTTCAGTAAGCAATGAAATAATTGGTATTTTAAATTATTATTTTCATATCATAATTCTTATAGCCGAGTGTATGGAAGATTAAAGGAAGCATTGAGGGTTGGTGACAACTGGTCCAGCCTTTCCAAAACTATTGCAGTTTCTGACACAAGATCAATAGATTTTAATAAATTCACTGTTGTGAAAAGTAAATTTAAAAGAGTTATATTTTAATTTTTATGCATGTATTCACAATTCAGAGCAATCTAAGATCTCACTAAAAGTGTTCAATAATAATCCACTAGCAAAGCAACTTTGGAAAGGAGAGGGTGGCATTGAATTAAATCCTATACAGCAAGATTCAATTAAAAGAGCACTAAGGAATAGGTTTCAGTTGATTCAAGGACCTCCAGGTAATGAAAACTATAATTATGACCATGTTGAAGTTTCAATCATTTTCAGTGAATCATGGTTGTCTCATTGTCTGCCATTTCTAAAAAGTGGTTTGAAAATATATTATTCAATTTTGAATCATTGATGATACTGCTTTGCTTTACTTTTGTAGTATACAAGATAATTTTTTATGGAAATGATTTTTTGGATTTGGCAGTACCTTAAATGACAATTGCATTTAAATGAATAAAGCTTTAATTATGTGATTAAATCAGTACTAATCCATGACAAATAAAAATCACTAAAGACTAAAGTGTTACTCCTCAGAAATAAAGCACTATACAGTTTTTACCTGAATTATGCTGATTATGATAATTTACAAATTTCACATGATCTTTGAACTTCAAAACACTGTAATGATAAGTATTAATTATATTATTATACTTACTTGATACAGGTACAGGAAAGAGTGAGACTGGGGCACATTTAGCTTACATTTTTTCAATAACAAATAAAGAAATATCTAAAGAAGATCCAACCTCTTTTTTTAAGTCAGTACTGTATTGTGGTCCCTCTAACAAATCAGTAGATGTGGTTCATAGTAAGTAATTTATGGAAAAGTGCAGTTTAACTTCAGTATTTTATAGAAAACTTGCATTTATTAAATGAGAAATTGGGGAGCAAAAAATTAAAAATTCTTCGTATTTATGGACGTACTCATGAGCGTATGGACTGCCCAGATCCTGTTTTTGTACTGACACAAGAAAGAGCAGAGAGAGATGATAATGATGGTGGTCGTGTCTTAGAAGAATTTCGTAATGAATCTCTACACATAATAATAAGGCAAAATTTCCCTGAAATAAGAGCTACTGAGACAAAACTACAAAAACTTTTGAGTCAAAGTATCATTCCATCATCAACTGAAAGAAAGAAGTAAGTCTTTGATCACATAATTGAGACCCTGGGACAATTAAAATTGTAATTGTAATTGAGGCTTAAGCCTGAACAGAATGTAATTGGAATTTATCAAAATTAAGTTGTTGAAGTGTATACTGAATCATTGCAGGGAGGTGCTCTCATTTACCTCAGTGTAGCCATTTCACATAGCAAGATTATATGTACATGCACTATACATGTAGATGGAAGTGTGGCAATCAGAGTTTCCCAGTATAGTGCTCAGCCTCTTGCCTAGTCTCGCCCAGTGAGACTACTTCTTGCCAATTCATGAGTTGTGCTGTTTATCAAGCTTTATAAAAAACCTTCATCCATTGTATTTTGTCAAACATGGATAGGAAAAAATTCTTCATTTTTATAATTTTTATTTAATACATATACATGTTCTGATTTTGTGTATCTAGTTTGAGCCAATTCCAATCAAAATTGAATTTTATATGAATTTTTAAAGTTGCTCAAAAATCTGACCTGAGACCGTGTACTATGGTAGGACAGTTTTGGGCCAAATTTTGTCAAAAAACAGCTAGGCAGAAATTCCTAATTTTTATGATTTTTCTGATACATACCGTATAGCTTAAAATTTTTGTGGGTCGATATTTTCGTAGTTTGCTCCTAGTGGGGCAATTCATGGTTTAATTTTTGTGGTTGACAGTTTACATAGCCTGTAAGGGGATGATTTTGTGGGTTTAAATTTTGTGGACAGCCCATAACCATGAAAACCACAAAATTTACATTCCACGAAAATTTCAAGCTATACGGTACATACACATGCTCTGTTGTTGTATATCATCAAGATTGATTTATTTTAAGCATTACTTCAAAAGCCATGCGCTATAGTGCAGTGCTTGTAAGCTCATAGCTAACTTAGCCTACTCTGTAGAAAACCCTGGTGACAAATACGTTATTACTTCTACTGTGTGACAGCTAAACTGCTGTTTCTTTAAACAAGCCATGTTTTTCATGCAAAAACATATCGAAATAGTATTTTTTTAATTGAAATTATATCTATTCAACATGGCATTTCTAATTGAGTCTATTTTTTACAAAAGGAGTGTATTGTAATTGAGGTTTTGTACTTGACCCAAAGTCTGCTATGTTATTTGATCTACGTAATCATGATTTTCCATAAATTAATGTAACATACATACATCTTATAAAATGGAATAAAATACTACAACATGTCAAAAGTGCAAATTATAGTAATTAATAATTACTGTGGTAAACTGATACAATATTATTATTCGTTATTAATAATATATGATATTTTGTATTTTGTCTAGTTATAAAGATATGATAACTTCTTCAGAGAAAAGGGAAATTCAAAATAATTATGATGTTATTCTTTGCACTTGTAATGAAACATGCAGTCAACGATTGTTGAGTTCCAAAGACATACTAGCTCAGTGTATAATAGATGAGTCTGGTATGGCCACTGAGCCTGAGACAATAGCTGCAAGCAGTTTATGTGAACATGTAGTGCTGATAGGAGATCACAAGCAGCTACAACCAGTCATAAAATATCCTCCAGCCAAAGAGTGTGGCCTGGGTACTTCATTGTTTGAAAGATATGCCAACCAGTTTGAGAGATGTGCTGAAAGTCAAGATCCTTACTTGATAACATTGGAGCTACAATATAGAATGGTAAGTTAATTGCCATTCCAGTAAGTGTATGCTAAAACAATTATGTGTGATTATGATGCTATACTAATGTTGTTACAGTCTTATTTTTATTTTGTGCAGCATTCATTCATATGCCAAGGACCATCGAGTATTTTCTATAATAGTAAATTAAAGGCTGATCAAATTGTCAAAGAAAGACGTCCACTAACTCAATCCATAGATTTGTTTTGGTCTAGAGGACAGCAATACCCTGTTCTGTTTCTGAAAGTTTATGGAGTAGAGAAATTTACTGATAGCAAGTATTCGAAAAAAGTAGATTCTCATTCTAAATGCAATGAGCAGGAAGCTAAAGCAGTGGTGAGGCATTTTTATTCTGTAATAACAAAGAGCTGAGCCTGAGATGCATGCATATACATTTAAGTATGCTTTGTGCTGCAGCAAAATACCATCCAAAGTTTAAATTTTCCCTCATCAAAATTTCATAGCTCTTAAATAGCAGTAATATCACTATGTGTACTACAACCAATTAACCAAAATTTTGCTTAATTAGAATTTTTCATGTACAATGTCAATTGAAATTGCATTGTATTATTTTTACTGGATAAATGTGCTATAATGTTTCGTTTCTTTTAGTTAAAATATATTACAAAGTTGGTGATGAATCATGATGTTGAGCATGAGAGCATAGCTGTCCTCACTCCTTATGGGGCACAAAAGAACCTTGTTGTTGACATGATAAAGAATGACCCTGTGCTTAAAACAAAGTGGAAAAGTTTAAGAGTTGCTACTATTGTTGAGAGTCAAGGTATTTCTACATAAATAGATGCATTTTTTAATAAGTAGATTACATCTGATTTTAAATAAACATTCTGTGCATGATTAGTTCATTTTATGTGATGTGAATAATTATTGTGTAGGTGATGAGTATGATATTGTTATACTAACAACTGTCAGATCACAAAAACTCAGTGAAATCAGTCATAAAGAGTACATTCAACCTGACAGGAGATGGTTAACAGAAAATCTTGGTTTCCTGACTGATGATCATCAGATCAATGTTGGTATCACTCGTGCTAGATATGGGCTTATAATCATTGGTAAGACTGTAAGAGATAAATGCAATGTAACATGTTTTATGTATATTTATAGGTAATGATAGATTACTGAGGTATGACAAGACATGGAATAGACTGATTAAATTTTATGAAGATAAAGGATGTACTCGTATGATAGACTTTTAAGTTATAATTATAGTATAATATAGATCTATATAATGTAGTATTATTTAGCATTTTCTTTATTCAGGTGGCTGGTATTCATCATGTACTCATGTACATTTTTGTCAAAATGTTTTTGTAATTTTCTTGTTAATGAAAAATATGAGTCTATTAGATCTACAGTTAACTATTAATGCGAGTAGATTTATGAATCATAGCTCTCTGTAGACTAGTCTAGATAGATCTAGATCTAATCTTCTGGAGAAATTCAGTGTCTCCATATTTAGGGATTTCTCCCTAGATTTAGGGATTTTTGCTTGATCTAGGGATTTTTTTTAGAATAAGACACTGGATAAAGTCAGACCCACCTCCATTCGAGTTCCATGGCCGAATTCCCTGCCCAGTCTGTGACTCTTCTTTATTGGTCTTGTCTTTGTCCAATAAGGATTGAAGCTAACTCAAAAGGTATATATAGGATCGATTTGCTCATTGAAAAAGGAGCAGATGAGAAAGAAAAAGAAGTTGATAAACAAATAGAGGCTCTTGAATGTTCACCTGACATAAAGATCAATCTGAAATCATGTGTCAATTGGTTAGCTAAGTATTTTGAAGGAGACTTTAGCTTTTTAAACAAAAAGGAAACATTTCCTGTACTAGACAGATCACACGAAGGTTAGCTCAAGGCTATAAGTATAACCTTATATATATACTCATACACTTAATACAGGCCAATTTGCTAGTAAAGTTTGGAAATGTCTTGAAAGAATACTTCCTGGTCAAACTATCTCTTATGGTGAAGTAGCAACTCTTACTGGTAGTGAAGGAGCTGCTAGAGCAGTTGGGCAAGTCATGAAAAATAACAAACTTTCGCTGATTCTTCCATGCCACCGTGTCATTCGTTCTGATGGATCACTCGGGCATTACAGCAGTGGAGGGACAACTATCAAACAATGGTTGCTTCAGCATGAGAGCAATCATTAATAAATCATGTAATCATTCCATAATATTTAATAAAAATTATACAAATAGATCTATACCATTAAATTAATCTGCTTGCTAACTTCCTAGCTTTCCTGAATCATACATGCAATGTTTCCTAGTTTATTATAGTGATTCATTGGGTCAGTCTGATTGTGCAACCATCAGCATAGTACATTCACTAAACTGCTCACAAATTACTTCTTAAATGACATAATCAGTCTAAATCAATTGCATTAAAAATGATTTGAAATTATTAGCTGTAGCTTCATCCAGTACTAGAATCGGGTTCTTTCTCAGTAGAGCTCTTGCCAATCAAAAGAGTCGTCTTTGCCCTACACTCAAGACTACCACCTTCTCTGATGATTGACAATAAACCTTTATCTAGTCCTTTAATTGTAGACTTCATTTAAACCTGAAAAAAAATTAAAAATAATAATAGCAAGTGGTAAGCAAAAATTTACTATTGAAGCCAGTATCTTTCCAGCCCGGGATTTTGGCATAGTGCTCATGCAGTTTCTTGTTAGTGAATTTTAAAAGTTCAAAATTCTAAAGGTATTTTCAAAAATTGCAAGAAATTTTTTAATTCTTTTGTAATAAATCTACATAGACTACACACAAAAAAGCATGTGTCAAATTAACATGGAATTTTGTTCTAAATTTCCTACGTGTGCTATATTCACTATATAACACACCATTCCGTGTTTAAATAACAGTTATAACACACTTTTGTGCTAAAATCACATACTTTTTATGTGTTATAATTTGGGACACCAAAAATGTGTCATTTTAACATACAATTTTTAACGACCTGGGGGCGTAGCCCCCAGGTCGTTCCTATAATTGATTTCACCGTCGCGCTATCTATATATATATATTTATTTATTTGTATGTCCACACTTACATTTCTTCTATACATGTTGTATTGGAGAAATAACAAGCCTTAGCAACCACCCGCCCACGCTCCTTTACGTGAGTGGGTGTGGTCACGGCAAACAAAATGGCGGCTTACACATGGGACAAAGTTAAGAGCTTTCTAACAGCAAGAGAACATAGAGATACTGTCTAAAGACTTCTCTAGAAGCATTATAAGGTAGAGAGAACCTCTATAAGTCTTAATAATGACCAAGTTGTACTTGCAAGGTGGTGAAATCAATTATAGGAATATTTTTTACCCTGTTACGCTTGTTTTGTGTGTATTAATGTTATGTGCTGTATGAGAATTTTAAGCTGATTCTAATAAAAACTAAATTTTTAAAGGTGCTACAAAATTATTCCAAGACATTTTACTATTTCATTTAGCAAAATTTCGCTAAAAACAACTAAAAGAAAATACTCCAACATTTTATAATTTTGTCTCATAGACATTCCAGTCAAAATTAGATTTTTTATGAATTTTAAAAGGTATTCCAAAGTCCTTGTGACCAAATTTCCCAAAAAATCACTACAGAGAATTCTTATTTTATAATAAATTTTTGTCTTGTACACATTATGTTGTGTAGCATGTTTAGGCTAAAAATTGAATTTTTAATAAATATTTTAAGTTACTCAAAATTAGACTAAAGTTCATGCAATATAGAGTAAACTAAATTTCACCAAAAATGAGTAAGAGAGAATTCTCCATGCTTATAACTTTTTTATATACATGCTTTTAGGTTGTGTAGCAAGTTTGAGTTCATTCCTATCAATTAGTATCAAAATGGTTTTTTAACAAAATTACTCATACTCAAAAAATTAAATCAAAGTCCTGTACTAATAAAGTCTTTCGCCAAATTCCACAGAATTGACTACGAGAGAATTCTCCATTTTCTGATACTTATACATGTTCTTATGTTGTGTAGCAAATTTGAGCTGATTTCGATCAAATTGAATTTTTTACAAACTTTTAAGTTACTCAAAATTTGACCAAAGTTCCTGTGCTATTATAGTATGGGGTCTTTAGCTGAATTTTGACAAAAATGACTATGAGACAATTCTTTATTTTGATAATTTTTGTCTGATACATCATGACATGTTCTTATGTTGTAAAGCTGATTCCAGATTTCTAGCAGTAGCTGTATTGTAGTGCTTGTCAGTTTATGAAGCATGCACTTAGCATGCTTTGTGGGAAATTCTGACTGATCACTTGATTGTTTATACCAGCTGCTCCATAATTTGACAGAAGATGTCAGAATGGCTTAAAAAGAATCTGTCATTTTAACTAAATTTCAAGTTTTAATAATACATGTTCTCATGTTGTGAAGCTGATTGATTCAGATTAAAATTAGAATTTAATCATGCCCGAAACACAAAAAACAATGGGAATGGGCTATAAGTACAGAACATTTCATCAAAATGGCTAGGAGAAAATTCTAATGCATGCATATTTTCTTATGTAGAGCTAGTGTAGAAATTTTGAGCTCATTCTGACTGAAATTGGTAAATTTCTCTAACTAATAATACTGATTAGCCTAAAAACAGTTCACCCATACCGTATAGCGCTTTATTTTCGAGGAGCTAAACTTTCGCTATTTTCGCGGTTAGCATGAAACCATGAAATTAAAGATCTGCTAAAATTTCAATTGCCATTGAAGGTGTGGCACAATCATTGTGAACCCGCAAAAGTTATTTCCGCAAAAAATTGATTTTTATCAATCCGCGAAATTTTAGCTCTGCAAAATTAAAGCGCTATACGGTATTCATACAAGTCAAAGGATCAAGATTACAAGATTATAACAAAATTGTTCCACCAAAAAAACTGGATCCTGTTCATAATGACTTCATTCTATCAAAATTTTGCTTCATGTATGCATAGATATTGCATGCATGGCTACTGAATTTAAAATTTAGAAAATTTAAGATCTATCAGTCCTTATAAAACTTACCACGCATAGGGTACTATGGTCAATCACACCACAACAATAAAAGATACCAAGGCTGAATGTGTTGGTTCTGGTACTGGTGGAGTTTCCATATCATTATTGATTACACTGAATAAAAATGATTGGTTGAGAGCCCTTGCAGTGTTAGTGATAAGTGAGAATATATTGGGCTACGAGCTATGTAAGAAAAATTATGTAACTTTTTTTAGTTTAGGTATGGTTTAGGCTTGTTTAGGCCACCCTAATCAGACTAGATTCTTTGTTCCATCTTTTACCGGGGCTGATGTGAGCAGTCGGCTCTTTAGTTATTACAATATAATTAATGTGCAATAATAATGGATTCTTGATACCATAAATCGTGACAATTATGTGGTAGGAAATTTGTTTTTCTTTTAATTGTGCCACTGTGATTTAATTTTTCCGTAATAAGACTGAGTCATGTATTATTAAATGGGGCATGTAATTATAGGTGTTATCTATTTTTAGAAATTCTAATCATCCAGTAAAATTAAAATTACAGCAAAAATTTCCAGATTTACAAACAATGCTGATGCGGGCATGTACGGAGGGGAAAAGCCCGGGATCCATCAACAGTTAAAACTCTACAGTAGCTACCTGCCTACCTCATGATATTCTGAGGGATGAGTGTACAAATTCTTCTAAAGGAGGCTTCTACGACAACCAGTACAAAACAATGGAACTGTCAATATGAAGAGAAAAGGTTCCGATCAGATTCATTGCTTCTTCGCTCCGCCCGGCGGGCCTTACTTCCGGATACGTACAACACACTTCCGGACATGGTGTCATAAATAAGTTCGCTTTCTCATGTACCTCGTACATACACTCGTAATGAAACCTGGAACTATACTGGTGCTAGCAACTACCTTTCTTTTGACGAGAATACATCGTGGATTAGCATGCACTAGTGGTTCTATTCGACTCGTTGGTGGTACTAGTACCAGTGAGGGACGTGTTGAAGTATGCAGTAGTGGTGCATGGGGCACGGTTTGTGATGACTTCTGGGATAACACTGATGCAAGTGTTACCTGTCGTCAGTTAGGATACGATTCAGGTATGCTTATTAGTTCATGCTCATCATTCACACTCGGTTACGGTGCAAGCTGCATGTCAAGCAGTATACATAATTTAGAATTTTTAACGAGGATTAATTGACACATCAGTCAACCATCTTGTGAGACAAGACACATTATAAATTCTTTCATAATCCATGAAATTCATGTAAAGTTAAGAAAAGATTTGATATTAATTAATAATTTTTTATATTGCCTAATAAAACCTGCATGGTACTAGATTTTAATTGGATGGAGGAAAATAGTTTGGGGAATTGCTAAATTTTTAGTGAGTGGCAGGTTATAGTTTTGGTGAATTTATGACCATGCATATGATGTGCCGCTCAATGGTTCATAATGGTGGATTTTATTTTACTATCAAAGCACCAAATTTACCAAATTTTCTCTTAGCTATACGGTATCAGAGCTGAAATTGGTCATGTTTCTAATTTTTTTGTGCAATTTCAATACTGTTCAATCTCAAATTTTTTATGATTTTAAATTAACGTCATGAATGATGAACAAGTTTTATTAAGGCAAAGCCAATGATTATCTTCAAAACCCTGTTAAACTGTGATTATATTCCAGCATAATATATCTATTAGTGTTTTAGTGAACAAATTCAGATTGTTAGTGAATTTGCCATAATTTGTCATAGACATTGGTAAACTTGCCATTTTTCTTACCAGTTACTAAAATCTTCTAAAATTAATAAATGTTTTGTACTAACAGGTAATAGGGTAGTCCGCTCAAAATAAGAAAACCACTATAGTACTGTTATAAGAACATGCATGTGTACTACTATTAAATAATTGAGCTGTTTATGACTAGATCTATAGTTGTGTGGAAATTTACTCTAGCTTGTCATTGGCAATATATCTATAGCCAGTTAGTTATTAAGAAGAAAGTTGAACACTAGATGTAACTAGAAACTTGTTTATACAAAAGCTATTATCCATTAATCAAGTTTCAGTTCAACAATCAATGTGTTATTTAAGTTACAGGTTCTCATGAGACTTTCATTGATGGTACACTATATTCATGCACTAAACTATTAGTATGTGCATTGCCCTTGGGTGATATCTATAGTCATTTTACTAACATGGCAGCAGCGTGTTATTGTGATTAGGTTTTAGTCCTTAAACAGATGCATTATTGCATGTAGAAAGATGTACTTGTTCTTTATTTGTTATGCTTGCATAAGACTCTGAAAGCACAGGGTAGTTATTCGCAGTAAAACCTACATAAGTAGCACCTCAGTTGTGATATGCTCATGCAGTGCATGGAGTAGAAAAAAATGTACTTTGATGAAAAAATTTTTTGTGTTCTCACATACCGCATTGTTTATGTGATAATAACATTCAGACTGTTGACCAATTACTCTCTCTTCCAATTATTGGGGGTGCAGTTGCATCCTGTTCCAACTCCAATGATGCAAAGTAATATACCAAGTATGGAAAATAACATGGTATTGGTCACCAATACCATGTTATTGTCCATACTACTCTCACCAATAATTGATGAGAGTAGTAATATTGATGACTTCATTTTGTAGTACATATAATTTTGCAAATTTTACCAATTTTGTCACCTTTTATTGAGTATGCATGCTTAGAACCATAATACATGATTTTTACACTGGCAATTTCTTTATAAAACTGTCCACTGCCTGTAATTTCTTGCCAATGAATCACCTTGTGCAATATTTACAATGTTTCATGTTTTAGATGCTTTTACAAATCAAAGTTCTAAAGTTCTGAAATAATGTACAACATTTTAGGCTATATAATGTCTCTGACCGGGCCAATTAACACATGCACCTCTTTAAAAATAATTACTTGTCTCAGGTAGCGCATTGTGTAGATAGCAACAGTTATGAAATGTTTATAAGAGAGTTTTATTTAGAAAGGTGCATAGCTGCATATAAATGTAACTTTTAAGCAATGAAACTTACGTAATTACAGCACACCTCTCAAAAACACTAATCCTAAATGACATTTGCTATAATAATTTTGATAATTAGGTAAGTGCATGATTTTTCAAATTTTAGAAAAACACCATTTAAAGTGGTAAAAAGTTTCTATTACTTTTATTCAAATTCTTGGTATACCATTTTTCTTTCAGGAACTGCTTTCAGTAATGCTTACTTTGGACAAGGAACAGGTAGTATTGTCATGGATGATGTAGAGTGTACTGGAACTGAATCCACTCTTACAAGCTGCATTCACACTACCAATCACGACTGTTATCATGGTGAAGATGCTGGAGTAAGATGCACTGGTAAGAATGTGAGAAATTGTTCAAAAACTTTTGATGCATGCACATCAATATTCTGCACCTTGTAGGTGTGGTACACAAATTCAAGTAAAAAATTGAGATTTAATTTTTTGACAGTTTCATTAGGCAGTTAAATGTTGGCAACAATTGATAGGGTTGTAATGCTTTTTTTGAATTATAGCCAACTTTACTTTTTTGTTGATAAATTTTTATGGCTCTTATTTTCAAATCAAGTAAGACATGAAAGTAGAGAAGTAATAGACTATGACAAATGAATAAAATTTATCAAAATAGATGCAAATGTATAGTAGATAAACATTGGATTCATCATACAATGTCTGACAATTACTTTATATAGTATGCTACTGCAGATCAAGAGTGATTTAAAGAAAAAATGTAGACCATAGATTTGCTCCAGCATTCCATTTTTTATTAGTTTCTTAATTTCCATATTAATTAAACTACAGTTTGTTGTGATTGATCATTATAGTACAGAATGTATTCAAACTTCCATGAGCTTTCTTTGAATGCTAGCCAAAATTTGATTGAGTTTTCCAATTCATCTGACTTTTTGCATTGGATAAAATATCACAAGGTAAAAGTCATGGACATAATCTTAAGTGGCCAATAATGATCAGAAGTAGCTTAAAAATATAGTCTTTCCGACATTAACTTAAATTGCACACTCTTGTTGATGAGAATTCTACATGGCTTAATTGTCACAATTATAGCTGCTGAGTTAGCTGTTTTCTTCATATTTTAGCCATCACTATTGGCTTTAGAATTTTAGTTGTATGTTAGAGTATTCAATAATACCTGTGTTCCAAAATAATTTTCATAATGAGAGTGGTCAATAGTCAAAATATGATGTTATTCTTGTCATGAATTTTAACACCATTGATGATGTTATGTACAACTATGTAGCTGCTACCAATGGAGCCCTAATTCTCTCTCGTTATAATATAACATCAACCTCTTATTACTATGGAACAGTTAGAGTATATTATAATGGATGGGGTAATATCTGTGATGATTATTATTATAATTCAGTTGAAGCTAATGTCATTTGTCATCAGTTGGGATACACTGGAGCTTCAAGCTACTCAAGAGCTGGACTTGTCAGGTGTGTACTGGTCACTTATAAAAATATAAATGCTGTTTCTGTAGCTACGGCACAGACTACCTCTTTATGAAATGGGATGATGTTAATTGTGCCAGTAGCAGCTATTTATCTATTGCTCAATGTTCCTACTCTACTTCCATTGATAGTGGCTGTACTAATAGTAACAGTTATGATGCTACTGTCTACTGCTGTAAGATAATAATTGCATACAATTTTACTTTATTACATTGTACAGATACTACTAGAATCTGGAACAGTAATCCATTTCCTGGTATGATACGTCTTCAAGGAGGAGCTTATTCTAACGAAGGACGTGTGGAAGTGTATTGTAATGGACAGTGGGGGACAATATGCAGTACTGGGTTTGGAACTACTGATGCTAACACCATTTGCAAGCAACTGGGATATGACAGCTATTACAGATATAATCACCTGTCAATGTTAGTATATACCTGATGATTATATTAAAATTTAAATTTCATTATTTTAGATCCAGTGGTAGCTCTAGTCAGCCAATATGGAGTACTAATATGTACAGTACATCAAGTGATAGGTGTTATGGTACTAGAAACACTTGTCCATCCTCTTCAGTGACTACTTGTTCTCATAGTAATGATGTTACAATCAGTTGCAGTAAGAGTACCCATATCCAAGTAACTGTTTATTGTGATTCATTTGTAGGAGAGTACTCCTCCTCATCTCGTCAAACTGTAACTTCTTCAACTTGTTCAAGTCAATTTTATTGCATTAATCAATAATGAGCCTTGCATTCAAAATTTAGGTCTTTTAGGTAATTCTGCAAATGGAGCTCTGATTCTTTCTCGTAGTAATACACCATCAACCTCTTATTACTATGGAACAGTTAGAGTTTATTATAATGGATGGGGTAATATCTGTGATGATTCCTATTATGGTTCAGCTGAAGCTAATGTCATTTGTCATCAGTTGGGATACACTGGAGCTTCAAGCTACTCAAGAGCTGGACTTGTCAGGTGTGTACTAGTAACTAAACATTATATATAAATACTGTTTCTGTAGTTATGGTACAGACTACCTTTCTATGAAATGGGATGATGTTAACTGTGTCAGTAGCAGCTATTTATCTATAGCTCAATGCTCCTACTCTACTTCTATTGATAGTGGCTGTACTAATAGTAACAGTTATGATGCCACTGTCTCTTGCTGTAAGATAGATTAATAATTATTGTTTAAAGTTTTACATTAATACATACATCAGATATTAATAGAATCTGGAACAGTAATCCATTCCCTGGTATGATACGTCTTCAAGGAGGAGCTTATTCTAATGAAGGACGTGTGGAAGTGTATTGTAATGGACAGTGGGGGACAATATGCAGTACTGGGTTTGGAACTACTGATGCTAACACCATTTGCAAGCAACTGGGATATGACAGATATTACAGATATAATCACTTGTCAATGTTAGTATATTTGATAATTGTATTAAAATTTAATTTACAAAATTTTAGTTCCAGTGGTATTTCTACTCAGCCAATATGGAGTACTAATATGTACAGTACATCAAGTGATAGGTGTTATGGTACTAGCAACGCTTGTCCATCCTCTTCAGTGACTACTTGTTCTCATAGTAATGATGTTACAATCAGTTGCAGTAAGAGTACCATAACCAAGTTACTGTTTATTGTGATTCATTTGTAGGAGAGTACTCCTTCTTATCTCGTCAAACTGTAACTTCTTCAACCTGTTCAAGTAAGTTGTAGCTATAATTATTTTAAAGGATTTTTAATTTTTTTATAGATGTTGTGCTTAGTAATCCTGCTAATGGAGCCATAATTCTTTCTCGTTATAATGTATCATCAACTTCTTATTACTATGGAACAGTTAGAATATATTATAATGGATGGGGTAATATCTGTGATGATTCCTATTATGGTTCAGCTGAAGCTAATGTCATTTGTCATCAGTTGGGATACACTGGAGCTTCAAGCAACTCAAGAGCTGGACTTGTCAGGTGTGTACTGGCCACTAAACATTATATATAAATACTGTTTCTGTAGTTATGGTACAGATTACCTTTCCATGAAATGGGATGATGTTAACTGTGCCAGTAGTGGCTATTTATCTATTGCTCAATGTTCCTATTCTACTTATATTGATAGTGGCTGTACTAATAGTAACAGTTATGATGCTACTGTCTCCTGCTGTAAGATATGATGGTTTAAACTTTTATGTAATTGCATTGTACAGATACTACTAGAATCTGGAACAGTAATCCATTCCCTGGTATGATACGTCTTCAAGGAGGAGCTTATTCTAATGAAGGACGTGTGGAAGTGTATTGTAATGGACAGTGGGGGACAATATGCAGTACTGGGTTTGGAACTACTGATGCTAACACCATTTGCAAGCAACTGGGATATGATGCCTATGATTCAATTAGTTACATATCATCGTAAGTTATTATGTTACTGTGAAGTGAACTGCTAATACATACTTTATAGATATAGTAATTACAGTCAGCCAATATGGAGTGTTAATATGTACAGTACATCAAGTGATGTGTGTTTTGGTAGAAGTAACAGTTGCCCATCCAGTTCTGTTTCAAGTTGCACTCACTATAATGATGTCTCTATTACATGCAGTTAGTACATTCAACTATAAAATAAAAATATCCTGTTTGTAGGAGAAAGATATTCCAGCACAAGATATACTTCAAGTGCAGCTACATGTGCCGGATTAATAGGTTAGTTTGAGTTAACTTTAAGAATGAGCGTATTTTTTGTAGCTTCAAGTTCTCCAAGTACTGGTACAATAATTTTTTATCGTAATGGAGTCTCCTCACCTTCTTACTATTATGGCATTGTTCAACTTTATTACAACAGCAGATGGGGTAATATCTGTGATGATTATTATTATGGTTCAGCTGAAGCTAATGTCATTTGTCATCAGTTGGGATACACTGGAGCTTCAAGCTACTCTAGAGCTGGAAATGTTTACTATGGAACTGACTATAACCAAATGATAGTTGATGATGTTAGCTGTGTTAATAGGAACTACCTGACATTATTACAATGTTCCTTTTCTACTTACATTGATAGTGGATGCACTAATACTAACCAATATGATGCTACTGTTTACTGCTGTAAGAATTTTGACTTTATTTATGTTATTTTTTACATCAACAGATACTAATAGAATCTGGAACAGTAACCCCTACTCTGGTATGATACGTCTTCAAGGAGGAGCTTATTCTAATGAAGGACGTGTGGAAGTGTATTGTAATGGACGGTGGGGGACAATATGTGATGATGGATTTAGTTCAACTGATGCCAGGACTGTGTGCAAGCAGTTGGGATATTCTTATTATTCAAGATATGATCATTTGTCACTGTAAGGTGTCATATTCTTGCTTTAATGTCATAAGTTACTTTTATTATAGTCCTGGTAGTTCTAGTCAGCCAATATGGTCTAGATATTTTTCAAGTAGTTCATCAAGTACCTGCTTCAATTCAAGGAATTCTTGTCCCAGCTCCAGTATTACATCATGCTCACATTCTGAGGATGTAACTGTTTCTTGTTGTAAGTTTTGGTTAATTTCACTTCATTGATATTTTGATTGTTATAAATAGCGTATTCTTCATCATACACCAATACTGCTACACTAGGACACTGTAATATTAATGATACTACTCCTACAGAAAATGATCATAGTAAAAAATATTTAGACATTGACATTAATTATTACAGATACTTAATTTTTTAGATATTAGTGCTATTGAAGGTACAGTTGGTGGTATTTTAATACCAATGATAGTTTATATAGTCTGCTGCGTTATTTGTTGTGTTGCTTCAAGTAAAAAGAAGTCAAAGCCTGATACAAGCAGAAGACCAGTCATTCTTCTATTTAGCAACATTTCAGAGTCACCAACCAAATAATTAATAAACGTAAAACTTTTTAAAACTTTATAGTTTTGTGCAAACTTTTCTATTTTTATATTTTGTGCTGCTTAATGATAATTAAACAAGCCTGCCAATGCAGTAAATTAAGTATTAGAACATAGGCCCAACATGCACTAGATCTAGTTGCAAAAATTGTTGCATTTAACATGATTTGCATAGCATATGTTAGGCGTTAGGCAATGACTGTCCAGATAAATTTATATTGACAGTTAATTAACACACCTTAGCAGTCAGTGAACTTAAAATTATTTCCTATGAGCAAAAAGTAAATGACTAACAGCTAATAGATTTCTAAATCAAAATTTCTTGTTACAAAAATGCAGCAGATCTAGCTCTAGTCTTTTTTATTTAAAAAATGCATTGAAAACATTTAAAACAAAATACATCATTAAATAAGAGGCCAAATAAAAATTGAATTTAATTTGAAATTAATTTAAGGAAGCATTCTAGGTCTGTTATACTGAATGTTTGAGAAAGTGATAGAACCAGTCACAGGAGAGAAATTAAAAGGACAGGAACATTATACACAGCATGAAGCATTGAAACACACCTGTTTCATTGGTTGATATTTGCAACTGTAGTTTTTTTATATCAGACAAATTAAGCTACATTAGCTACCTCCTAATGCTATTTAATTGCATCTGTGATTAAATTCAACAAATAGATAAGTCTTAAAAGAATTATCAGATTATATGTTTAAGTGTTAGAAAGTAAACATTGAAAGGAGCAGGCATTCCACTTATACTTTTATAATATAAGTAGACAAGTGCATGAGAAAGCAGAAGTAAATTATAGTCTTCAACTTTTATTCCATCATTATTGCCATTAATCTTTGAGTATGTGCTGAATTATCCACACTATCAAGCAACAGCAGATGTTTTCTACAAATAATTATACAAAAACCATTGCCACTCATTCCCGTCTCATTTAATGCTCCAAAAAAACCATCTCCTACATACTAGAAGTAAATTTATTTCTTTGTCTAATGTTCTTATTATAATAATTATTTTGTGATGGATCTAACTCTGTGGCATAGCTCTGAATAGATAGGTGGTAACATTGCATACTAAATTTTGCTCTTAAAAATTTTTGTGTACATCTAGATCTAGTCTATATCAATTAAAAGTGCCATTTTAAATAATTAATTTTTACAGAAGACTTTTTGTTTTTATAGTTAAGAAGTAGTGATAGATCTAAAGCATAATTTTAAATATCAAGAAATAGCAGTCTTAAGATTGACTCCTTGTGAGCACAAACAAATCTTTTTGCTGACATGATCATTTAACTGATATCGTCATGCTAAGAACTGTCAGATTATAAATTATCAATAAAATTAAAATTAAGAGTACTAAGTTCAACCTGCCAGAAAATGGCTAGTCTAACATATGTGGCCAGTAATAGGGGGATCATTTAGAAAATGTACTGTCAGATAACTGGTTATCATGGTTATCATGGTTATCTGTGTTCTATCCTTTAAAATAATTTACATTAGAGCAGCTGATCATTGCAAAGAGCTTTTTCCAGTTTCCACTTGGTAAAAGCCAGGTTCTCTGTAGTCTCGCCCTGCCCCTTTGCTACCTGCTGAGGAAGGGTCTGGAGACACTCAACACACTTTTTGCATCAGTGTCTCCAGACCCTTCCTCCGCAGGTAGCGAAGGGGCGGGGCAAGACTAGGTTCTCTGCAGTATTAATAGAAGATATGTGTGCTAAGTAGACTTTTTCATTACACTGTCTGATGCACATTGATGTCCTTATGCTATGTAGAAATTTTGAACTGATTCCAACATCAATAATGAGTTTCACAGTATAAGCCAATTTTTTGAAAAATATCCATAGTTTTTTTGAAAAATGGCTCAAAAATCAACCTAAATTTTGATTACATTTTTGACACATATTGATTTCATTATATGCTGTGTAAAAAGTTTGAGCTGATTTAAACTTAATTTTTTTCTAGTTATGGCCATTTTATATAAAACAATTTGCCAAAATTCTAAAATACCCTGTACTATAGCCCATGTTTTTTTCAAAAAATGGTTCCAAATTTTATTACATTTTCTGATGCATATTGATGTCTTTATGCTATGTAGAAAGTTTGAGCTGATTCTGACTTTTATTTTTTAAGTTAGGGCCATTTTAAAAAAATGCCAAAAATCTGAAAAATAAAATACCCAAAGCTATAGCCCATGGTTTTTCCCAAAAAATGGCCTCAAAATTACCCCAAATTTTTATTCAAGTACCTATTGGGAATGAGACTGCATTAACAAGCACACATGATTTTATCATAATCCATTACAGTATTCAGGCGATGTGCAACAGTCAGTATAGTACATTCACTAAACTGCTCACGAATTACTTCTTGAATGATAGAATCAGTTCTAAATCAAATGCAATAAAAATGATACAGCATATGCTTAAATTATCCTACTTTCATCCATTACTAGAATTTGGTTATTTCTCAGTAGAGCTCTTGCCAAACAAAAGAGTTGTCTTTGCCCTACACTGAATTAGGTTACTACCACCTTCTCTAATGATTGACAGTAAACCTCCATGTAGTCCTTCAATTGCAGGCTTGATTAGAACCTGGAAAAAATAAAAAATAGCAAGTATCAAACAAAAATTTACTATTGAAGCCATAATTTTGGCATAGTGTTCATGCAGGTTCTTGTTAGTGGATTTTAAAAGTTCAAAATACTACAAAATTGTACAGGATGTTTTTTCAAACATTGCTAGGAGAAGGTTTTTTTATGATTATGTTTAGTAATATCTATGGGATTCCAATTAATTGTGATGAATTCTAAAGTTGCTCCGAAATTATTCCAAGCATGTGTGGAAAAATTTTGCCAAAAATGACTAAGAGAGAATACTCAACTTTTAATTTTATCTCATGCATGTCTATATGTTGTGTAGCAAGTTTGAGCTCATCCCGGTCAAAATTGGATTTTTTACTAACTTTTTAAGTTATTCAAATATTAGACAAAAGTGCTGAATTTTGACAAAATGACAAGGAGAGAATTCTTCATTTTTATAAATTTGTTTGATCATGACATGCATTCTAGTTTTTTATAAAAATTTGAATTTTGATGCCATGTACTAGCTGCATTGTAGTGCTTGTCAGTTTATGAAGTATGCTGTTTAGCTCACTTAGAATGCTTTGTAGGAAATTCTGACTAATCAGTTAATTGTTTATACCAGTTGCTCTATAATTAATTTTGACAAAATGACTTTGCCAATTTTAATAGATTTTATTAAATACATGTTTTTATGTTGTGTAGCTGATTGATTTAGATAAAGTTAAAGTTGCCAGAAAGGCAAAAGACAATGGACTATAAGTACCATATAGCGGGATATTTTCATGGGGTCTTATTTTTGTGTTTTTTGTGTCCACGACACTTTCACGAAAACTTAACGCACAAAAATTTATCATATATTCGGTATAGGCATGTCCTGTACTCCACGTGCTTGCAATAAAATGGAGAAATACTTCAAGCCGCTTCCAAAAAAACTTTGAATGAAAGTACACTTGGCTTACCTTCAAAAACGATTAAAGCTGTCGAGAGAGAGGTAGAGAAAGCTCACCAGGCTAAAGCCAAAGGCTCTTATAATACAGTTATCACAAAAATTTAACCCAAAAAAATCTGAACCACTCCAAATCACGAAAATTTGACCCCACAAAAATATCCCGATATACGGTACAGAGAATTTCATGCTAGGATAAAGTTCTAATGCATGCAGGCTAGTCTAGAAATTTTGAGCTGATTCTGACTTAAATTGATGAAGTTCTCTAACCAATAATACTGATTAGCCTAAAACCAGTTCATAGCTCTAATGCTATTCAATGTACATGTTCCAAACTAGCCCTCCATATGTCACTCTCATCATACAAGTCAAAAGAATCAAGACTAGTATAACAATTGTTCCACCAAGAAACTGGATCTTGTTCATAATGACTTCATTATGCCAAAATTTGCTTTGCGCATGGCTACTAAATTCAAAATATGGGAAGTTTAAATTCTATCTGTCCTCGTGTAGTCTCGCATAGCCAGACTCTCCACCCCGTCAAATGTCAAAAGGGAGATGGGTCTAGCTACGTGACTACGCAAGACTAGTCCTCGTGACACTTACCACAATAGGGTACTATGGTCAAACACACCTTGAAGCAACAATAAAAAGATACCATGACTGAGTGTGTTGATTCTGGCACTGGTGGAGTTTCTCTATCATTATTGATTGCATTGAATAGGAACAAAATGGTTGAGAGCCCTTGCAGTGTTAGTGATAAGTGAGAATAGATTGGGCTGCGAGCTATGTAAGAAAAAATTGATGTAACTTTTTTAGTTTAGGCATGCATGGTTTAGGCTCATTTAAGCCACTCCAATTAGATTTAAATGCCTTGTTTCATCTTTCACAGGGGCTGATGTGGGCAGGTCACTTTTTAATTATTGCTGTATATATATCAGGACAAGTATGTGGTAGAAAATTTTTGTGTTTTAAAATTGTCTTGTGATTTAATTTTTACGTAACAAGGCTGTGTCATGTATTATTGAATGTGGCATGTAATTATGTGTTATCTAAATTTTTGCAAAATTCATATAATCTAGTAAAATTAAAATCACAGCAAAATCATTTCCAGTTATATACTATATCCCAGTTCAGTTTGGGACGGAAGTGGAAGCAGCTGCGTGGAATTTGAAAAATGTAGCTACGTCACAAAAATGACGTATTTTAATGATATTCATATAAGAATGGCGGCTGTGTTGTTTTACTCTTAAAACAGTCTTGCTGTTGCTGATAAGTAGTACAACAGCTACTGGAGTCAACTAGTCTTCATAAAGGCCATCATTATCAGAAGATCTTGCTCTGTTAGCTTTTTAAAACAAGAATTATCAGTTTGCGCTCTCGACCACATGTGCTTATGTAAACTATGACGTAGATAAACTGTCATAAAACGTCATTTTGGTATGCCATTGGGTTTATAGGGAGAACCCGGTTCTCAGGGTTCCCAAGAGCTGAGAGACCCAAGATTTCACAGATTTTGATGGACTTTGGCGACTAAGAACCTGTGAAAGTTTCATTCTTATCCCACATTCCTATAAAAAGTTATTCCAGTTTTTCTTGTCCCAAACTCAGCTGGGATAGAGTATCGAGTATAGACGATATGAGATCTACAAGCAATTACTAATGCGGGCGGGGAAAAACCCATGACCATCCTATACAGTACACTCTTACTACAATAGCTAGATCTATACCTTATGATATTCTGAGGGACGAGTGTACAAATTCTCTTGAAGGAGGCTTCTACGAAAACCAATACAATAGAACTGTCAAATGTCCTGCAGCTATGTTTTTCTCTTGCCAAGACTGAGGTCTGCAGATTGTCGGTACTGTACAGGAATGTCTCTTTCCAACCAGATTCATTGCTCACTTCACTCCGCCCTGCTACTATACTTCCGGATCATCATAGATTAGATCTAGATGCTGTCTATTGTGTTCGCTTTCTACACTCGTAATGAAACCTGGAGCTATTTTGGTGATAGTAGCCTTTCTTTTGACAAGAATACGTCATGGATTAGCATGCACTAGTGGTTCTATTCGACTCGTGGGTGGTACTAGTACCAGTGAGGGACGTGTTGAAGTATGCAGTAGTGCTGGTGCATGGGGTACTGTTTGTGATGACTACTGGGATAACACTGATGCAAGTGTTGCCTGTCGTCAGTTAGGATATGATTCAGGTATGCTTTATTATCATCATGCTCATCATTCACCCTCCGTATATACAAGCTGCATGTCAAGCAGTTTAATTTGGAGTTTTGTAACCATGCAGAAATAATTGACAAATCGGCCATCTGGTGAGATAAGGCACAGTACAAACTTGTTCATCAT